TATATATTTACAATGTCGATAATACAATTAAAAGTAAGTACAAATATAATAAGTATATGGATTGAATAAGTATAAGATATTAAACAGTATTCATTAAATAAGTATTATTTTCAACAATGAAAGTGTTGAAAAAGGGATGGTGTTGATTATTCATAGATTTCCACAATCATATTTAAAATAATTAAATTTATAACTTCATAAAACACAATAAATCGAAAAAAAGTTTTGATATCTTTGTTTAAAATAAACAAAAAACATTAAAAATATTAATTAAAGTAATCAGAGTTTTAATGATTATTCATAAATAAAATGTAAGAATTTTATTCATTATAAAAGTTGTTATGATAATTTTATTTATTCAAACTTTCAGTATTTGAATGAAACGTATTAACAATATACATATATAAAATCATCAATTCGAACAATTTATTCTACTGATAAAGACCAGTCTTTAAAAATAAGTTAATTATTTTATATATAAGAAACATGAAACACTTCGAATAATTAATCAAAATTGTTGACAGAAAACAGCAAAATTCATGTTATTTAAAATGGCGAGTTAAATAGACACAAATAAAAAGCTAAAAAATGGTTTGCTTATAAATACCAATAAATAAAAATACATTACAATTTTGTTGAAAATACAAATTTAAAGGAATTTGTTGTGTAAGCAATACACATCATTTTATTTTTATAATTTATTACATTGTGCAATTTTTAATTGTGTTTTAAACAGTTTGAATTCGAATGTAAGATAATTTTACATTAAAAACAAATTGAGTTTGTAAAATTCAAATCAATAGAATGTTTTCACACAATTGTCACAACTTGTATTCAATTGATTGTTTTTTTATTTCAGTAATAACAATAATATTAAAAACCAAACTTTTCAAAAACAATTAATTGTTATCATGTTAGACACAGCAAGTACATTAACCATGAAAAGCATCTGTTGAACCAGGTAATTTTCAAAAAACTTTGTGATTATTAATTCATTTATTTTTTTTAAATGAAAGAACAAAAGTATAGCATAAGAGGATAATTAAAGAATAATGTGGTGGATTCAAATCTGACAACAAAAGAAATATCAAAAAATAAATAAACAAAAAATGAAAATATATAGTCAATTATTCATTAATACTCAAAAATGTTAAAGTTTTTCGAAACATTCATTTCACGTTAAAATTACAATGAATTTAAAGTTTGGAATTTGATAAAAATATGAAGATGTATTTGTAAAGGTATTAACTATTAAAATGCTATCATATAACAATTTTTTTTATTCTAAAATAATTTTTTAAAAAATGGGGTGTTTTCGTTTTATAAAGTCAACTAAAATACTGTTTGAAACAAAACAAATGTAAAGATGCTATGATAAAATGATATCAAAAGTGCTCTAATCTTTGTTAATAATGAAAAAAATACAATGTAAATAATAGAAAAAATAATGGTAAATACGATAAATATTTGTGAATCTGGCGTAGGAACAACAATTAATCGAAATTTCAATATAATGATAAGATTACTTTTCTACGATAGAACACAACAAATTTGTAAATATAAATTGTTCAAATTAATTCAATTATTACTTCGATAAAAATTATGCTCGACATTTTTTTGTTATTACAATTACACTCCAATAAATAACGATGAGTGTAACCCACGAACAGCACCATTCAAAACACTAAACAGAGCAAGTAAAACAAATATAATTAAACCATAAAAAATATGATTTG